TTACTGTTGAGGCTTTGGTTTCGACATCGAATATTTGGACTTGAAGATGTAAGTGGGGCATCATTTCAAGACATATGAGATTATTAGTTTCGCTAGGATTTTGGAAGTGATTGTCTGATCTTTAGGATTTGTGTGGTCCTTAGGGATTTGGGCCAGAAATAGAACACGCGCACGGACAAGAGACAGGTGTCAGAAGTTGGTTATTAAAGAGCAAGAAGGTTTGGGAATCCTTTAAATCTCCTGTATTGTAAGGACTTAGTCGAATCTAAGTGGGGGAGAATCACGGAGGTATTCAGGACAGGGACAGGTAGAAGACCAGGATGGACTTCTCATCCTCATTGAGGGAAAATGGCAGAACAAGTGGCTATTTGGTTTAAGGGTTGTGCGAGTTTGGAGTTCAATATAACTCCCCAGCGTGTAGACCGCATCTTCTTGGGGACTGGATAGAAGAATTTAGGGAAGCAGGTTGGGGCTCCAGTCATGTATGGAGTTCCATTCGGGTGTTCAGAAGAGTGCATGCTCGGCTCTGTATGCGTTTGAATTGATAAATTAGGAGTAAGGTATTGGGCTACGATTGTGTTAGGATGAAAGTGTTATAAGACTACGGGGGAGCCGTAGCATACACTAACGATCAGTTGGTATGGAAGTGTTGTAACACTACGGGGGAGCCGTAGCATTCACTCAAGGTCAGCAGGGTGAAAGTGATATAAGACTGTGGGGGTAGCCGTAGCATTCACTAGTGGTCAGATAGTGATACAATGTCATGAGACTGTAGATGTAGTCGTAGCATTCACTAAGTTGATAGAGAGAATGGGAGTGTTATTAGAACGTGAAAGGAACACTAGTACCCACTAGTTCGGGTGCAGCGGTGAGGATATGGAAATCCACGGATTGGATTTCGAAATTACCTGGATGGATTAGATTTGGTTGAGCCAGTGATAAGACTGTAAGGAACACCATTATAGTTGTGAGATCGAGGAAGCAATGGATTGCTTAAGGTTTCTTATTGCATAAGTCTACCATTGGTTAGGTAGCAATCACTTTTAGCCTTAGATTTGGTAACGTCAGGATTCGATACATGGACCCGATCGGTCGGATTGGGAGGTTGTTAGAGCCACAGTGGCATGATAATTAGTGGCAACTTGTTCCAGAGGAGGATTTCGTTCAAGAAGTCACATGGAGCGACTGCATGCAAGTCTTTTGGCTCCATAATCGGGACTGGATCCGATATTTCAGATGATCGGTGAACGAGTTGAGATCAGGCAGGTCTCGGTGGATTTTGGGAAGCGGTCATGAGGCAACATGTGTTTCAAGCAGTTTAAGCGATCGGGCAGTATTAGTAATGGTGTTTAGGTTACGTATACGATCGGAATAGTTGGTTGACTTGGAAGTGAAAAGTCACTTACAGTGGGAGTATCTGAGCCTTGGCCAAGTATGAGGGATCTGCAAGGATGATTGGGTCTGTGACCATGTTTATGGTGAGAGCCTCGAGTTATTAGAAGTTGAGTGGACAGTTAAGGGGTAAACATACTAGATTCAATGATAATGATTCAGTATGAGTCATTTGTCAGGGAATCAGACTATCTCAAGATAGCAGATTTCAGATGGAGTAAATGTGATCTTGTTGTAGGGAATTCTTTCATCTTCAGGTTTTAGAACCCTGCTAGAGTGGGTTATAGTTGCCTTGAAAAGGCTGGTCACGGTTACCATGTGAAGGTTAGGGTGTGCCTAGGATTGTAACCATGTCGCCCAAGTTTTCGGGCGTGTAAGGGATGATTTCGAGGACGAAATCTAATTTAAGTGGGGGAGAGTTGTAACATTCTGTTTATTTAATAAATAGATAGATAAAATTTGATGAACGAATAGTCGAAATAAATTCATATTATTTAGTGTGGTGTTGGCTTTGGGAAGCCAAATGTTATAAAACAGATTATTCGGGGATTAAAAAGTAACTTTAGGATTTATTTTGAAAAGATTTTGGAGGCTAATGGGCTATTTGGTAAATATTAGACTTGATTTGTAAAGGAGTTCAGGAGGTTGGGTTAAAAAGGTAAAATTTAGACTTAAAATGAAAAGAATTAGAGGAGCAGGGGTATAAAGAGTAAATTTTGGAGTTGGTTTGCAAAGATATTGATGGGGGAGGGACCAATCCTGCCATTATGGCAACATGTTTATGGGATCAGGGTATATAAACCCGTAACCACCGATCAAACCCTAACCTTAGCAAACCCTTTACATCCGTCACCCTCCTTATACCTCCCTCTTCATTTCAAGTAGCGGCCACCACCATTGGAACCTCCTCAGCCACCTATCATCAAGGCCGACAACCACCCTCCCGCTTGCTTCCTAGTCGATGACACGTCACCACTATTGCTCTACTGTCGGAGGCGTTGTGTACATCGGAAACCCCGAACGCCAACGTGTGGGCCGTAAACGGATAGGTCCTTCCATTGTTGCATTAAAGCCGTCATAGTGCCGCCACTATTGCATCCGATGCCGGCGAAGAGCGTAAAGCAACGAAAGGAGCGTTGAGGATGTCGGGAGAAGCTGGAACGTGGTTGTGACGTCGCAAAACGTTCCTTTTCTCCGGTTTATTGCTGCAACGCCGCCATTACCGCCTTAAGCCACAATTTTGTCTGTTGCTGCTGTCACCATGCACCACCAGGTGGGTGGTTGCATCTAGTTTTCCGAGCACGGGTGTATGGGTGTGTTTCTATTTCTGATGCGCATGTATGTCGTGAATGTGTATGTCTAGCCGGAAAACCGAGGATAGCCATTGCCACCAAGTGTCGTCGTGTATGTGTATTTTAGTGCGTGTGTGAGTGTGTGAATTTGGTATTTTGCATTGTAACTTTGTAACCGGTGATTAGAATAATAAAAAGAAACCCTAAAACCACCACCGTAGGGTGGTGGCTGCCACCACAGGCCGCCGTGTCGGTAGCCGTGTGCTTTGCATTGTTTTGTTTGATTAGTTTGGAAGCTTGAAACCCTACTGGGCCCATTGAAGCCGTAATGGGCCTAGTAAAACCCCAGTGGGCCTAATAAGGCCCTAATTGATATAAAATCTCAAACATGTGATTAATGGGCTAGTATTGGGATGGAAACCCTAATGCCATGAAACCCTAATTTTGGGGTTAATCGAGACACACCATTGAATTATTTAATAAACTTAAAATATTAATTAACAACATTGACAAATTAACTTAAAGGCTATATTGTACTTAATGGGTTAAGTAGGAACACTTAACCCTAATTGACATTTTATGTGAAAACCCCTTATTGGAATTGGGTTCTTATTTGGCCACTTGTTGAATTAAGTTGTTGTGGGACTTAATAGGCCAATTGGGAACATGTTATGGACTAAGGAAATCCTGGGGACTTAGGATAAGACCTGTTAGAGAGGCTTGGGCCCAATCGGGAAAATTGGGCCACATCTGGGCCTTGAGAACTATGAGAGGGTGAGCCATGGGAATGCCCAATGTTTGGACTAGAATAATAGGTTGGGCCTTAAAATAAGTCCATAAAGAGGTTTGGGCCTAATTTGGAAAATCGGGCCATATGATTGGGCTTTGGCCCATTACTTGGCCTTTGGGCCTTTGGAGTATGATTTGGACCTTGGGCTTGGAACTCAATTTTTAATTAGGTACTGTTTTATGTTGACAGTTCGAGAGCCTGTCAACCAACAGCTAGAGTTTTATCTGCGGGACTTCAGCAGTGCGAAGTGAGTCTTCTCACCATACCAATGCGTCTAAGGCACCAAGGCCAACCCATTTATACTAGTTGGTATATTTTCTATGTAGAGGTGTATGTGATATGTATGTATGCATTATATGCAGTAGAGATAGCCTTTGTGGCTAATGGTGGAGACAACCTTTATGGTTGATGGTAGAGATAGCCTTATGGCTAATGGTAGAGACAACCTCTATGGCTAATGGTAGAGATAGCCTTTGTGGCTAATGGTAGAGATAGCCTTTGTGGCTAATGGTAAAGATAGCTACTATAGCTAGTTGATATGTGATATGTGGTAGTGGTAGCTCTTGTAGCTAATTGGTATGTACTGCGTTGTAAAGATAACTTTTGTAGCTAACTTGATATGTGGTAGAGATAGCTTTTATAGCTAATATGATATGTGTATGCGGTAGAGATAGATTTTAATGCTAATATGTTGTGTGTCATGTGGATTGTGTGTGGGGTATGCTTTGGGGGACTCACTAAGCTTCGTGCTTACAGTTTTGTTTATTGTTTCAGGTATCACCGGTTTGGAAAAGAAGGGCTCGAAATGATCGCAATGCACACACCCATGTTTTCCGCATTGAATGATTTTGGGATGGACTCTGATAAATATTTTACTGAATGATGATTTGAAATAAATGGTATCAATGTTTTAGCTATATCAAAAATGAAAATTTTACCATTAATTTTTGGGTCGTTATATATATGTATATATATATATATATATATATATATATATATATATATATATATATATATATTAAAATAAGACAACGCTTAGGAATAGTGAACTAGGTCATCCTTGGGCAGAAATGGTCCTTCGATTACGGTGGTTTGTCATGTTCTGGATTTCTTCCTACGTATTTCTCTTCTGGACAGTTTATGTTATTTTATCTATTGTTTGTCGACACGTGTTTCTCACGTTCTTTCTTCACCGTTTTTCACCCAATTAGTTTTCAATTGCTAGCATTATTTTTCAATCTTTATTTCAATGACATTCATTTTGTATCTCCCTTTCAACTAGTCCTTGTCTTCGCTTTCTTCCTTCTCCGTTTCTGCTTCCGGATCCTTCCCATCGCCTCTCTTTTTAGGTACACCTCTATCGACTCTTTCCTTCTCCCTTTCTCTGCAATCGATTTGGTTTCGCCCATGCACCGTATCATTTTTTGTGTTTTTCAGTTAATAACGTTGGCCGTCTCATCCCTGCTACTCAAAACCACCCTCGATTTATCCACTTTACTTCGACATGGAAGCAACAAGAACCAAGAATGCATTTTGGCACTGTTGGTGTTGGTGGTGCGACGGCATGGTCGGTGGTGGAAAATGGAGGCGTTGTGGTCTTCAGGTATCGCAAATCGATTGTGTTGTGGCAGTTCTATTCCATCGTTATGGGTTCCAATCAATTTAGTCTAAGTAACATCGCTTGCCACCATGATCCAAGCCACCATCGCTCTCCACCACCGATTGTCCCTACAGGTCATTTGACGTCTCTGGTTTTCCTCTTAGTCTTCTTTCTTTCTCCCTCTCTACTCTGATTCAGTAAAATTTGGGTAACTAAGTGATTCTCCCATGAACTCATGGTGTGCAAATATATCTTCATCGCCCGATTTCCTTCTTCCATCCCTTCATTGATCGAGCCTTGATTGCTTCATCGATGACTACAACCCATAAATCAGTTTCGTTACGTTCTATGCCTCTGTTAATGGCAAGAATTATGTCCTAATTTTACCTCCTAATCTACTAGCTAATCAATCAAATAAAAAAAACACTTTTGTTAGTTCGAATCCACCTTCTCTCAATGGTTTAACTAATAATTATGATCATTCCTCTTGGTTACCAATTGAAATATTATTAGCAATTCAATTACAAATTTACTAATATTAAAATAATTCATGAAGAGTTATGTATGGTCATACATAATTTAACACATGATCATTTATTAGATAAAATTGGAGCTATATAAGATTGAGTTGACAAACACAATTATGGTCATAATATGAGTTCTCGAGCACAACCAAATTCAATAATTCAATTACTTATATAAGATTGGTTCGATGTTAGCTCTAATAATCTAATGTTCACTAAATTACTAGGTAATGAAATTCATGCAGATTAATGGTTACTAACTACACAAAATAAGAATTTAAAGCAATCTAGTATCAAATTAAGCATACTAAGTATAAATAATTAATTACAAGACTTTAACCAACAAAAAAGTCTAAATTATTATAAACAAACGATGAGTTCCAGCTTCATCTAGCTAACAAAAGCAGCTAGATTTAGCTACTCATACTAACAATTGAACTAAAACAATTCATAATCAAAAGCATAGTAAAGTACCAAATTAGAAAGTAAATTATGATCTTCTCCTTCTTCCTTGGCATTAAAACCAAATTCCTAGCCTTCTAAACCTCTACAATAAAACAAAAATAAAAACGTAAAAATTAACAAAAAAAGAAAAAACGAAGAAAGAGAAAAATGATTGGGTTCACGTCATGAGCTTAAGGCTCACGTCGTGAGCTCAGTACTAAAACAAAAACCTAAGTTGAAAAACAACTTTTTGCAGGTTTTATCCCACAAAAAGGATCGATTAACCTAAAGCAAATAAATCAACAATCAAATAAGCCGTTCCCTAGCAACGACGCCAAAAACTTGATGTGCGCAAATAGCTATACCTAATTTTACCTCCTAATCTACTAGCTATTTGACCCAAGGCAGTGTACCCCACACAAATAGTATAGCACAAAAGTTAGGTATCGATCACATGGAATAGTATTAATTAATTAACCTACTTACTATTAAATTAATATGAAATTCTTACAAAAATAAAAAGGGTTTTTATCTAATTTTGCAAGTTTAGATAAACTTAATTTCTTAACACAATTCAATCAAATAAAAAAACACTTTTGTTAGTTCGAATCCACCTTCTCTCAATGGTTTAACTAATAATTATGACCATTCCTCTTGGTTACCAATTGAAATATTATTAGAAATTCAATTACAAATTTACTAATATTAAAATAATTCATGTAGAGCTATGTATGGTCATACATAATTTAACACATGATCATTTATTAGATAGAATTGGAGCTATATAAGATTGAGTTGACAAACAGAATTATGGTCATAATATGAGTTCTCGAGCACAACCAAATTCAAGAATTGAATTACTTATCTAAGATTGGTTCGATCTTTGCTCTAATAATCTAATGTTCACTAAGTTACTAGGCAATCAAATTCATGCAAATTAATGGTCACTAACTACACAAAATAAGAATTTAAAGCAATCTAGTATCAAAATAAGCATACTAGGTATAAATAATTAAACACAAGACTTTAACCAACAACAAAAGTCTAAATTATTATAAACAAACGATGAGTTCCAGCTTCATCTAGCTAACAAAAGCAGCTAGATTTAGCTACTCATACTAACAATTGAACTAAAACAAGTCATTATTAAAAGCATAGTAAAGTACCAAACTAGAAAGTAAATTATGATCTTCTCCTTCTTCCTTGGCATTAAAACCAAATTCCTAGCCTTCTAAACCTCTAAATTCGACTTATGGAAATCTTCTTCTAGCCAGCCAACCTCTGAATTTGTAGGGATCAAGGATATTTATAGTTTTTGGTTTCACCCTCTTCACATCGTGAGCATAGGAGTCTCATGTCGTGAATGCAATACTAATCCGTATCGAACACGTATTCTTTCATCCGAATGATTATCTTCTAGAATATCCATACTCACATCGTAAGCCTTTACTCCTCACGTCGTGAGAACGTGTTTTGCTGGATTTTTTTTTTCATATTTTAAGCTTTTAACCTCCAAAGTTCCAATCTTTGACGCTTTCAGTCCTTTTTCTCCAAGATGTCTTCTTTTGGCTGCAAAATATAATTTAACCTTATAGGTACCATTTATCTAAGCAAATAACCAACATATTAATCAAAACGTAATTAAATATTGCTAAAAAATATGTATAAATAAGGCAATATCACATACACCTAGATTCTTTATGTGTCTCTTATACCTATATTCTTGCACAAGATGACATGGCTGTATTTCACCCCGAAGATCCCTACTACCCTGCCATGGTAGCCAACTAATGGTTTGGGGAGGAGCCAGAAGAGGTTCATGAGGAGGATCCAGAAGAGGATCCTGAAGAGTACCAAGAGATGGATTACGAGGAGGATGATTCTAAGGAGGGATCAGATGAGGAGGCCGGTGTTGGGGAAATTGTTAATGAACCTTACCCTATCAGGAGCAGACATTAGACCCTTTCACCTCCATCCTTCCAGGATGTGCCCCTACAATGGGTAACCCAACTGCATGCATGGGCTAGAGAAGACGGTCGACGATCTATATTTGGCATGCACCCACTACACCATGCCCCGGGCCCAAACACCCCCACATATTAAGCACTACCTCTGATTGTACCGCATGTGGCCCGCTTGGACCCTCGAGTTCAGGCTCTCCATCATGAGGTAATGGAGATCGGTGGTGAAGCCCGGAACGTGACGATGCAAATTCAACACATCCATGAGGAACAAGAACACCATACAGATGCCATGCTGAACCTACAAGCAGAGCAGGAGAACATTACAGACCGCCTACACTCTTTAGAGGAGGAGATGGCCACTGAAGCTGAAGCTAGGGCAGTGACAGTGGAACAAAGAGCGGAGGATGCTACTCGTGAGATGTGTGAGATGGCAGGGCACCATGTTCGTCATTTTGGTGTATGATAGACTAGTATAGCCTAGTAAGTTAGTGATTACACTACTCACATCTTGTGTTAGGCTTATTATACTTCCTTACGTCTAGTAGTATTGAAACAAAATCTATGTATGCCTTCCAAGAAGATTGAAACCCAAGTCAATGGAATATTCCTATCTTATTGAATATGCGAAGAATGTGCATTGTGTATAAGATACTTACTACTACTACCACTTACTAACCTAAGTATATCTCTGACAATGTTGGTCAAGACATTGGGAATCATACAACAACAGTAACACGACATACTTATGGCATATGACTATTAACAGTTATACTTGCTTGCAAATTGTTTCAAACCTTAATACTTGGAACAGAGTCATGCCACCCAGGCAAAGCGCAAGACTCCCTTCAGGACCAACCTCAATACCAACACCACCCCGAACACGAACTCGAATACCAAAATCAATAGACGCGACTACAATTAAAGAAATGATTGCACAAAGGGGTGGTGACTGTCGTAGCAAACTTTAATACTGAGAGGCATGAAAGATCTGGACATAATAACCACAACTCTCATAGTGATAGCCGAGGAAACTACCAGATTTGCTCATACAAGGAATTTTCCAACTGTAAACCTAAATACTTCTATGGCAACAGGGGGGGGGGGTGATCGAACTAACATGCTGGCTCAAGAAGATTGAATCAGTGTTTGAGATTAGCTCCTGCACGAATGAGTGCAAGGTGAAATTTATAGCCTGCACATTCATGGATTTCGCCTTGATATGGTGGAATAGCCATGTAAGGACTATGGTTCTCACTACTGCGAACGCCATGAGTCAGGAAGAGTTGAAAGTCACGATGATATAGGAATACTGCCCGAGGAGTGAGATGCAAGACTTAGCAAGACTTTGGAATCTCACCATAAAGAATTCTGAGATATCAGCTTACACCAACCGCTTCAATGATCTGGATGTCTTGTGCCTAGGAATGGTTAATCCTGAGTACAAAAGAACAGAGAGAGAGAGAGAGAGAGAGAGAGAGAGAGAGATGGGGTCTTACCCTACAAATCCAAGGGATAGTCATTTCTTCTCGACCAACTACCCTGATAGCACAAAACACATCACTCATCAGTTGACTGACCAAGGCATCCGCCAGGAAAATCATGGTTCAGAAAGCTGACCATCCCAAAGGAGAGGAACAACAAGAGGGAATTCTGGAATAAAAATAAAGAAAACCCCAACAAGTCCCCCCAGAAGAAGCAAGGAACAGTGGCAGTTCTCGCCACCACCACCCCTATAGCCATCAACCAACCAAAACAATACACCGAAAATCTCCCAAAAGGCGAAAAGTGCCTTTGTAATCACTTTGGTGCATGTATAGAGATGTACTGCTGCAACTGTAAACCAAAGGGGTCACACTGCCAAATTTTATAAGACCCCGACCCAAGGTGGTAATCAGACATCCAAATCAGGGGTAACCCGTGCCTGTTATGGATGTGGCGAAACTGGACATTACAAGAGGGATTGTCCTAAGGCAAAGTGTTCAGGTAGAGGTGATCAAGGTAGATTCGTAGACATTGGAGCGAAGGTAGCAATACAGGAGCCTACTGTTGTGACTGCAAGGGTCTCCAATTCATCTCGTGCATCAAGGCATAGGAGCACTTGTACAAAAAGTATTATGCATTTCTAGCATACATAATAGACCAGAAGAAAGAGGTGAAGGAAATCTTGGACATACCAAAATTCCATGATTTTCCTGATGTGTTTCCAGAAGACCTCCCAGGGGTTACCACGTGTACGAGAAGTCGAGTTCAGAATCTACTTAATCGCAGAAGCAGCCCCCCATAGCAAAGTCTCCGTACAAATTGGCCCCGATAGAAATGTAAGAATTGTCTAGTCAAATACACAATTATTAGACAAGGGATTCATTAAACCAAGCTTCTTACCCTGGGGATCACTAGTCTTATTCGTGAAGAAGAAATATGGATCCTTTAAGATGTGTACTGACTATCGGAAATTGAACAAGATGACCATCAGAAACCAGTACCCACTTCCCAGGATCAATGATTTATTCGACCAATTTCAAGGATCCGATTACTTGTCAAAGATCAATTTGTGATCATGGTACCATCAACTTAGAGTTCAAGAAGAAGATGTCCCTATAACGGCTTTCAGAACCGATATGGCCAATACAAGTTTGTAAGTTATGCTATTCAGATTGAGTAATGCTCCAACAGTATTCATAGGCCTCATGAATTGCATATGTAGACCATACCTAGACAAATTCGTGATTGTATTCATTGATAATATATTGATGTACTCATGAAGTGATGAGGAGCATAGGCAACAATTGCGATCAAAACAAGAATTACTACGAAAAGAGAAACTTTACGCAAAGTTCTCAAAGTGCGAGTTCTGGTTATGAAAGTTAGACTTCCTAGGACATGTAGTCAGCAAAGAAGGAAGTACTTCAAGAATGGATAAGAACCATAAGCTCAGAGTAGACGAAATAAAGTATTTCATGAATTGAATCTGGATGCCAAAGTTCAGTGATCTTAGGGATTTGATCATGAACGAGGCATACAAGACAAAATACTCCATTCACACTGGGGCAGATAGGATGTACCATGACATGAAAGGCGTGTATTGGTGGCCAAACATAAAAGAAGAGATTGCCACTTACTTAAGTAAGTTCCTAACCTGTTCTAAGGTGAAAGTAGAATACCAGAAGTCCTCTAGGCTGTTACAACAACCAGAAACACCTGAATGGAAGTGGAAGTGGATTACAACGGACTTCATGACAAAGTTTCCCAAAACTACAGGTGGACACGATACCATTTAGGTGATCATACACAAACTAACCAAATCCGCACACTTCCTACCAAAAAAAGCGATAGATAAGATGGAACAGATGAGAAGAACGTATCTTAAGGAGATTGTGAGAATGCATAGGGTGCCACTGTCTATTATCTCGAATAGGGATAGTCGATTCGCCTCACGATTTTGGAAATCACTACAAAAGTCCTTGGGAATCAGGCTTGACATGAGTACAACCTATCACCCACAAACCGACGGGCAAAACGAGAGAACTATTCAAATGTTGGAAGATATGTTGAGAGCTTGTATGATAGATTTTTGGTAAAGCTTGGTGTACCCATTTACCACTCATCGATTTCTCATACAACAACAATTATCACTCGAGCATTAAGGTTGCTCCATTTGAAGCCTTCTGTGGGCACAAGTGCAGATCACCTTTGTGCTGGGCCGAGGTGGGTGACACACAGCTAGAAAGAGGACAAGTTCCTAATAGCACACTCACGGTCCCTGAGATCATACGGTAAATGACAGAGAAGATCGTTCAGATCCGTGAACAACTAAAGGCATCTCGGGATTGACAAAAAAGTTATGCGGGTAAAAGACGCAAACCCTTGGAATTCCAGGTTGGTGATCGCGTATTGTTGAAGGTCTTATCCTGGAAGGGAATGATACATTTTGGAAAATATGGAAAACTAAATCCAAGGTACATAGGGCCATTCGAGATCCTTGCCAGGATCTGCCCGATAGCTTACAAACTTCGATTACCACAGGAACTCAACAACGTGCATCCCACTTTTCATGTGTCTAACTTAAAGAAGTGGCTATCTGACGAGACCATCGTTATTCCACTTAACGAGATCGTAGTAAACGAAAGTGCCCACTTCGTCGAGGAACCTGTGGAAATCATGTACAAGGAAGTTAGGAGAACAACACAAAGCTGCATATCAATGGTAAATGTCCACTGGAATGCCACATGAGGAACTGAATTTACTTGGGAATGTGAGGACCAAATGAAACAGAAATACCCACATCTTTTCCCCAACCCTTGAGGACCCACTCGGAATGCTAATTTGGGGAGAAATTCCTTCTAACGTGGGGATGATGTGACAACCGTCAATTTTTGGTCAAACAGTCAATAAAAGTCAACCATGTCAACTTAAATCGTATTAGAAGTTTAGGAGAAATGTGATATTCTCTAATGTTTCTAATGTACCATTGACAAGTTATAATACAAAGTACATCTTTGGTTGCCAATTATCAAATATAAACCGGCAATAAGGTTAGTATCATAACAAATCGATAATTCAATTTCATATTATTTTAATACAAATAATATTCATAACTCAATGTAGTGGAGTTCATTAATCTTATACTACATGGAAAATTCATAACAAAGCCTGCGAACACAAATTTTGGTGAATTCGTCACCAAATGCAACAAATTCTATACCTAGCTAAACATCCAATTTTTTTTAATGGTTGAGAATGCAACCTACCATTAATGTAACATATTATTATTTTCAATAATAATGTTTTTGATAATAATTTGAATTTTTATAATTCAAATTAAATATTTAAACATCCGTTACACTATGTATTTACTATGGAAATGCAATATTTCCACTTAAAAAAGACTTTTCATTACACTATATGTAAACCTGTTGATACAATTAATAGTCCTCACCGTACCTACCAAAGTACACACTAAAGTCCTGAATTACAACAAGAATCTCGGTAAGAGAGTGCGGCACTTGTATGTAGATCTATACGGGACTGACAATCATGCACCTAAGCTGTTAGCTATAGCTAGACCAGCAGGTTTGTGGTGACAAATGTCTAACATTTACGACGCCTGAAGAATGTCGCAGCGGGTCAACTACAGTTTTAGCATAGTTGTAATAACTCGCATGAGGTATTAACAATACATTTGGTTTACAGGGCTAACATACATTCATATAGTTTTATATAAGAATAAAACTACATAATACTACTTTCGAGTGCAACAATACTTATATATTTTTGGTCTTAGGGTTTTAAGACTACAATACATTTTTAAGAAAATATTGGATTTTCTGGAAACATACACTATCATGTTACAATGAAAAGTTATAGATTTTTCGCATACAAAACTCTTATGAACCCACAAACTTAATTGCGGACACTTTTTCAAATTATTTGTATTTTCAGGGAATCGTTAAGAAAGGTAATTAC